ATCTCCATTATATGATGTTGAAATCTGGACAGTGCAAGCAGCAATAAAACTACACTGTGTCAGCATTTTAGTAAAAATATCTTTTCCACCAGCAGCCGATAACAGAACATGATAATGTCATGTCTGAATTAAAACTACAAGGATATTCATCAGCGGTCCTGCAAAAGGCACTCAGCATAAGGAGCACACTTGTCAAATCACCTATTTGTTCCACATTCTCATTCTCATTTCTTAAAAATACACATCTTAAATGTGCATTTCATGGGAATGATAGAAAGTAAGACCTTTTGAGATCCTTACAGTGGCATCTGTTTAATCCATTGCAATGGTGGACTGATAGCAAATTGCCTTGCTGAGCAAAGCAGACTTGTAGAACCGCTCTAGGGAGCCACAGACATACCCTAACCTTTCTAATACTCTTTTATTAAGCCCCACATTGATATATTCAAGTACACTTGTTTGTGTATGATTTCTTCCTACATGTTGTGCCTAAGTAAATCAGGAAACCATGCAAAAAAAGCTTTTTATCAAAAAATAAATACTTCCAAATACAGCTCTGACTTGGTCTCACGCACAGGCTCCAAGGCAAGGGCAGTTGTTAGCTATTCTTAGAATCCCTTTTACTTTTATATATTTTCAGCAGCAATCCTGGAATTACCAACAAAGCTTATTAACAAAGAACACAACAGTCCACATTTTCAAAGCTCACAAATTCTACAACTCAAATTAGGAATCTCACATTGTCCAAATATATGCATGCCCACAGCTGATTTGCTTGTAGCAGTTTGCATCCATTGGGTACACAGAGATATGAGCGTCAATACCTGTGCTTCCCTGGCTGGGTGTGGGTTCATTAGCAATACACACTACACACAGAGCCTGAGCAGTGACTCCCATCTTCTAAAATCACACTAAATGCAGTAGTGAAGGAGTCAAAATGATATAGGGGATGGGTAAGAGTGTATGACTCAGAGCAGATAGGAAAGGGTAAAAACTGTTCCATGGTACACAGAAGCATGGCTTGTCTCTCCACTTTCTCTTTGGTAAACAAAATGGGGACATTTAGGATGGCTTTTGCAGGGGAAATAATTACCTTATAAATATGTTAAGAGCCTTGAAGAAGTCAGTGAGCACAATGGTACCAGTGATCAATTTGGTATATTATATGTAGGTTTCCAAAAAGCTTTTGATAAGGTTCTTTATGAATCTTACTCCGCTATGGACTACTGTCAAAGGAGGGATGCCTAACAAAGGACATCATATCTCTCTCCAAAGGCTTAAAGAAACTGAGCTGTCAGGATACAGAATATCCTCTCTTAAAGAATAAGTGCTCAAAAAATAAGAAGCCAAATATACCTTTCACATTCTAAAAATAACCCCTCTTGCCTATTTGATTGTATCCTAGAGATGGTGATATTTCAGTGCTAAGTGATCCCACTATATCCCAAAGACACACACCATGAATCTTAACATTCAAAAACCACGCTTGTTTGATCAAACAGAATGAGAGAAACTAGCATTTCCATGAATGCACTGATAATAACTGGCCCGTGTCCCTTCTGCAAGCCAGAAGGAAACCTGCAGCTGGCAGGCTGCTTGTTGCTGATAGGAGTGAAGATTTATGGTTATTTCTGTTTCTCCCTGAGTCATGCAGCCTTCAAAAAATAAAAGCTTAAAAATTTAAGCTTCAGCTTCCAAGCTTAACATCTTCAAAACAGATAGCAAAGAACAGTTGTACATAAATGGGACTAAAGTTGGCACTGCATGGAGTAGACACATGCTATTTCCCAATGACTGCTGCAAAAAGAGATAATTTTGAGATTATTAAATGGGATACATTTTTTTCCTATATACCTTTGCTTTTCTGATACTTCAGAGACAAAAACAAACAAACAAACAAAACCAATCAAACAAACCCCCACCCTTTTCCTGCTACAGAATAACATATATTGGTAAATGTTTTGAAAAGAAAAAGGGAAAGAATGGGAAAGCACAGGAGTAGACAGACTCAAGTGAGATCTTACATGATTAATTCTTTTTTACCTTAAACTACAAGAAGATCTGTTGAGCACAGCCTACAAAGGTATACAAGTAGCACTCAGAAGAGGACAAACTACAAAATGATTAACAAAAATGTCCCATTTATGTGCATTTTGCTTCATGTAGTGAAAATAAAATGATTTTTACTTGGTATGTATCCGGTCTTTCCAACTCAGATGACGTTGTCACAGTGTCTGTTCTTAGATTGCCACTACTTGTTAACAAGTGAATCCATCCTCTAGAATTAGAAGTAACTTGGAAAAAAGTCCCTGGACTGTGGCAACCAACTGCTCCTGCGCTCCGCTTCTGTTTGGAAAGGTGTCTGCAGACTTCAGTCTGCACTCCCTCATGTTCTGAACCTATTCATTTAGGAACCATTTTACAAGCCTAAGTACAAAGATAAACTAGATCCTTACCAGAGCAACGAGAAAGAATATTTCTTCCACACTTTGCTCTCATCTAACTTGTCTCTCCTCTCTATGTTTTGTAAGTTTTTTTTCCTCATATAATACTTCAGCACGATGCTAGGAACTGCATTATCTTGGACATAACCAACATTTTGCCCGAGGGCTGCAATGGAAATTTCTCAAAGCCTTCAAGAAGCCTTTGATTCATTAAGGTAGAGCAAAAAGTGTTCACCTTCTTTATAACTTGAACACATGACCTGGGAGCGCAGATGGTTTCAGAGTTGTTTTTCACTGACTGGATTATACAACTTTCTGGCTTACATTCTGCCTGTACTGTATTAGGCAAACACTATTTCAAAAACAAGTCTTCCTTGCATCACTAATCCCATATGTTAAAAATGTCTAAATTTAGTCACCTCATTAGGTGACTGGCAGCTTATGCTCTAAAATGTATACATCCATTTTTAAAAAGGAACAGCAGGATACGACACTTCAAATCACTGAGCTCTTAGTCTCCAAACCTAACAACTGTCAAACTCATTAACAATTTTACAGCTAATAAATGCACAAAAGCAATCAGATCTAATTATATTATGCCTTATTTTTTATGGTTTACTATGGCATCTCAGCTTGAACTGGCATTATACTTCTGACCTTTGAGTTTGGTCTCTCCACTTAGCAGGTAACAAAGGTTGTGTATTCATAATTTCTTCTTCCTAAGAGTACAGTGGCACATCCTGGTAGTAGCCTACTGCAGCTGTTGACTTCAGCATTTTCAAAGCTTCAAGCATTTTCAAAGCTTCAAGGAAGCCCATTGGCATGCAAATGCCCAGTGTTTTCTATACTGATATTAATGGAGCTGCATTATGAGCTCCACATCAATAGAGGCCTTGCTGTGCTGGGACCTACATCCAATTCTGCCAGAAGTCTCAAATTCTTAAATGCAATACATGAACAGCACCAGAAAGGCTCTACCATTACTTTAACAAAACTGCAGATAAGTGTTTGAACATAAAAGATCACTTTATTTCTCAAATTACAGCCCTCTCATTCTTGAAAAGGCGCATTTCTGGTCATCACTATTTTAAATATATCCTATATTTTTCTATGAAGTTAAATACTTAAAAGAAGAATCCCTAAAGAAAAGAATACAAAGCACAAGAGTCTCACTTGATGTTTTGATTTCAGCATTATCTGGTCCTGTATTCACTGTGGAGAGTTTGGCTGCTCTTTGAAACTCTTAAATAAGAAATCCAGAGCTAGCCTTCCTTGCTCTCAGAAGCCTCTGTTTTTCAGCTGTTCATGCAAACTGTTAATATAGTGCTAGAGAATGGACAGAATGGATTATGCTTGTTTAGTAACTGTAACTTGCACTACAAACATGTTGGTTGTTACGGAGAAGAACTGTGATGCTTCTTTTTTTACAAGCTCATAGAAAATGAGGATGTGAATATCTTCTTGTAAATCAGTACTACCAAGGCTTACCAGACTGCTGAGTGGTTAACTTACAAAATCAGGCAGTTCCCAAAGTTACTGATCAGATCACTGCAGTGCAATCTGCAACCAGCATTCTCCCTGAAACCTGACCAGCCCAAATGGTTGGCAATGCATATCCACTGCAGTATAAAATGCTACCAAGGTCATGCAAACAATGCTGTGTGGAGGATTATTTGCACCTAATAAGCACAGCCCAATGCAGTAGTGCAACTCCTACCAACCAGCAGTGAAGGTGTGATGTCGCAACTTTTGCAATGGTTGTCACAATAAAAAATAGGTTAAAACAGTCCAGTGCAGGCAATATCACGTTCCTTCAAAGAACTAAGACCACAAAGGTGTACATTTCCCACATCAAAAATCATGCTCCTTAAATGTTTTTCATGAATGAGTGCTGAGAAGGAGCCCCAGTGGGTGTGCCTGTGAATTCATGCCAGTTAAGTGCCTTACTCCAGAGACTGTGCTCCTGACAATGCAATTGCTGTCTGGCAGGCTGATTAAGCTCCATGTACATGCACTTAGCATCTAAAGGACTACGACAAAGTATTCATTTTAAATGAATCTCGTATCTGTTCACAGCAAGGTCTGAGGTAGTTTAGAACCAGGCTATGGGAAATGGATGCTTGGGAAACATGAGAAACAAGGGGAGGGATTTAATGCACAAGACTATCAAGATAAAATGGTAATTGCTACAGAGAAGGCGAACATAATCATAGAGTTATAAATTACCACCAGCTGAGAAAGAGGAGCACTGATAGGAATGAGTGGAAAAAGTTCATTAAAATGGAACTTCTGTTTGGCCTGACTCTTAATATTTAACTTACAATATTTGAAGGAACAATAGCAACCACCACTCCACAAAGAAAACCAATATAATGAAATCAAGCAAAGCAGGAAGGAAAGAAAATTTTGCAATATAACAGAGAAAGTTAATAGACATGGGCACTGAATTGTGAAGCACTGCTATATTTCTCACAAAGAGCCCACATACTCAGGGTAATATTTGAATCTACAAGCAGCCAAAACAAGAATTCTGAAAAGTTGCGGATTCCTTCAAGGTTCACTTTTGATGATGCAGTTTATTGAGAAAACAACACTTATATACAACTGGAACATTGAGCAATGAACAACCAACAAATTGAACATATGTGAACATCACAATGAACAAGAAACACAATTATATTTGATTTAAATTAGATAAGCCCACGCAAAGCCTAACCTACTACTTAAATCAACAGAAAATCTCTCAACTGATTTTTCTCTTAAGGAAAACAGAGTTCAGATTATTAAAGTAGAAATTTGAAAACAGCTAGTATTTTCCATATCCACAGACAGTCAAATTAAAGCTCACTCTCTCTTAACAGATTAGCAGTAATTGACTTTTAAATCTGATGTGAATGAACTGGGACTAGGTTACTGAATCCTGTATATAACAAAAAAAGATGTAAATTTAAATAAAATAAATTTAAATACTTAATATATCCCAGGTTAGAGAAAGTTCCAGGAAACACTGCAGCAACAGCAATATGATTCCAGACAGAGAGAAAACAAAAAGGAGAAACAGGCAGACTGGGGGAATCCTGTAGGAAAAGTAAGAGCTGTGAGGACAGGAGACAAGCAGAAGTAGCTCAGACTACAGGAATCAGACCTTCATGTTACTCTTCCCATTAAAATGAATAAAATCTTGCTGCATTACATTCTCTTCATCAGTTCATCATCCACATTCAGTTAAACTATAGATTCCTTGCCAAAATTCACTACACCAAGGAAAAAAAAAAAAAAGAAAAAAAAAGAAAAAGGCATGTAAAAACACTTTTTTGCCAAGTCACTTCAACTTGTGAAACAGATGCATGCATGCAACTATATAACAGCCTTTCTACAGCCTTTCTCCTCACAACTCCGGCTATAGAAGATGCTGATAAACAATTCAGAGGACAAATCATGCTTCAAAAACTCAATATAACTTTTCATTAAAGACAAAAGTTCTTGACGTCAATTGTTAAACTTATTTATTGGATTCTAGGTACTAATCATAAACCACCTAGCAATGATAGCTCAGGAGTACAGAGACATGGGATGTAGAACAAAAACAACACAGAAAATGAATTATTTCTGGTACATGTACAAATTCCCTACTTTCTCTCCAGAAAGAATCTGCAGCCACTACTGTTCACTTGAATTGCATGGCACAGAGTTTTAGAGGTGCAGACCCTCATCTCAACAATAATACAGCCCAACTTCAGATATTTCAAGGCCAGCTGGTACTGTTTGGACATACAGCATTTGTTGTAAAACAGTGTTGCAAACTGCTTAATACAGGCAGCTGTAGAGATGTATCTGCCAGTCTGCAGGAGTCAATGAGTAACTGTGAAAGCTGTGAAAAAACAGCTTACCTTCTTCTAACAGAATGGATATGCCAAGATGCTAAACACAAAAGAGATGAGTAGAAGATCTGACAAAGAAATGTACTTACACTGCACTAACCGTGTAGCTCTCCATCCACTACAAAAGCTCAGGGCCTTGAGCAGCAGGAGGTACTGGGGTGGCAGATTTATACCTAAGCAGACAGAAGTCACCACTCCTTCAGATTTTTAGCTATGATAATCTAAACTCTGATGACATTTATGTAACAAATCAATTATTCTTTTTTATTTTTGAACATTTACCTATGCTATTCTATTCGGCTGGAAGGAACGGGAAAAGAAAAACTCTGATTTCCTGATGGGTTGTTAATATCTACTACCAGGGCATATTACTTAAGTGGTTGTTCACTTATTTCCACTGTTTTTATTTTTATCATAGTAATCAAATACACACAGTGTTAGAAAATCTAGTCAATCTATGTGTAAGTACCAGATACTTGCATTTTCCTCATATTATACTACATTATGTTAATCTGTGCTTTGTCTCTGTAATAGAACCATTTCCAAAGACAAACTGACTCAAATTCTGTCATGGACTCTTGGTGTGACTTCTACATTACCCCAGACAACACTGCAGTAAAGCTCATGAATGGCCTTTGAGAAGTCTGTCGGTGGTTTTGAGCAGTTAGCAAAATTCGAATGTAGGCACACTCTGTAAAGAGCACAAGTCACATGGAAGGCACCTAGGAGCAACATGTCTGTGTTCACTGGACTGCGTAAATGTCTTTGAGATAAGCATTTGATTTGCTCTCTTTTATTCACTACAGCCAGATCACCAATTCCTAACAACTTCAGCCAAACCAGCTTTGGACCTGCTCACCCATACCTTACTTAGACATTTGCACATGTTAAGCAACCGTAAGAGTGATTTCACATCCTGCCACACCACAGAATATGAACATTTCACCCAGTTTTTCTCAGTTTAGGAGTTTTAGGAACCTATTCTAAATTCAAGCTAAATGATAAGCTCCATTTAACAAATATACGAATATGGTATTCCGATTAAAATTGGTATGTGGGATATGAATACGCTATTCCATTAAAAATTTGAACCAGTACTTTTATTACCTGTATCCTGTACAAAACCTGTGGAGCTTCTGCATGTAATTTAACTAGTACAACTGCTGGGAACCAGTTCAGAGACAGCTGAGGGTTCTAACCTAAACACATCATCAAGAGAAGGGAAAGGGAGCCAGGCCTCAAGAATTCTGGGATCCACAAAGTACTATCTTCTAAGCAGTTCTATCCTCTAGCAACTGCTACAACATACAGGCCTAAATGTCTACTCTTAAATACTCCATTAAATACCACTGGCTCTGGTATTTGCTGACTGCTCCAGCCACAACAACAAATTACCAATGCCTTCATTTGCAAATTTGATGGTAAGTCACCACCTGTCAAAATAGAAACCAACAAACGTTTTCTTAGGGGAAAAACAATGTATAGCTTTTCTGCTTCCTCTGAAATCACAGCTGAATTCTGATTCCATATCAAGGGTCTCTGGGTGGGTGACTTTGTATAAGCAGAATGATCATGGAACAATCAGACAAAAATGCCTTCTGATCTTCACACTGACTTTAGCGTACAAAGCATGTGAGTAGATATTCACATGCATTTGGCTAGGAAACTTAATTTAGTTAAAGTAAAAAAACTACTGATATCATTTGCTTTCTTTTCTCTCATGGAAATCAAGTCAGGTAATAAACTGAAGATTCTCTGATTTGTTGTTATGATTAGTAAAGATGAAGAAGCATTAAGTTCATTTCAACTTTTCAGCAATGATGAAAAACACAGAGCTCCACCATAAACTGTCATATTGAACAAGCAAAACAGATTTGCATGGAAAAAGGATTAAATGGAGCTATAAAGGAAGGAAAGTGCAATGAAAAACAGCTACTTTCCTAAGAACACTGGCCAATTCTTCCTCTCTGCTGTCTTTCATGTAATTCTTGGATTAATTTCTCTCATTGCCATTCCTGTTGTCATTCAAACTTTTTAGAGCTTGTTTGAAAGTAGAGTTGCACAATTTTGCTTACTTTAGAAATTCATTTTCACATTTAAATCAGTTTTACAAATACTGAATTTGCTCTTGCTGAAGTTAATTTTTGGCCACAGATTTCTGTGAATAAAAATCTTTAAAATTCACTTGGAATTAGTTCATTAAATAAAAAGAATTTAGAAACTACATAGGAGTTGGCCCTAAGTCCGAATTCAATCAATGGAAGAAAAATAAGAGAAAAAGAGGACAAGGGAATTTAAAGATAATGATAACTACAGCTGAAGTACTAACTAGACAAAATGGTTCAGTGTTGGCAATATAGTTAATTCTGTTGTCTAGAAAGCTGACAACAGGTCTATCTTACAGTTTCTGACAAGAATGCAATGAACAGGTGGTCGGTTCTGCTCAACCTCTGTTGCAATTAAAGAAAGTGATCATGCAGTTCTGAATAATTACAGTATCTCATGACTCAGTTAAACCCTGATGCTTACAAGTGCGCTGATATTAAGCCATAACAGCACAATTTATTTCCACTGCAAGAAAAAAACAACCTAGATTTTAGAAGAACATTCAAGAGCTACATCTCATATTAGGAGTTAATAAATGCAGAGAATACTTAGCATGAGAACACTCACACAAAAGCACAGGTCAGTCCTGTGTGATATCATCCTTTGCCAGTAGTAATATTTTGCTGGCACTGTGTTTAAGGCAGAGATCTATACTAGGCCACAAAGATTTTGGGGGTGTTTGAGGGTGGATAATGTTAGAAGAACAAGCACAGTTCAGGTCCCTTAGACACTATTTCTTTGAATAAAAAGGTAGAAATTGTTAAGTTGTGGAAGGGATAAAGACCGTAAGAAAAGACGGTGCTATACTGGCTTTTGTTTTGAATGATTTTTGGGGTGCGAATTGTTATTTCTATAGGACCTGATTCTTTTTGCTTTGAGATTCTCTCTTATCTTTTCATTAAGATTCTTGGCAGAGGGCTAATGTCATGGGAAATAGACATTTTTCTTCAACAGTGAGTCATAGAACAAGATCAAAAAGAATCTGCAATAGCGTATGGTCTGTAAGGCTTATTAGTATCCAAAAAATTAATTGTGCTCATCAAAGATTACAAACTGAAAATCCTGTTCTTTCTCCGAGTGCCTAAACTCAGAACATCTGGCACAAACTTCTTTTTCTTGTTCTTTTTTTTTTTTTTTTTTAAATTAAATATTTTCTATAGCAGTGACTAACAGCTAGGTTACATCCCTTGCGTGTCCACAACTTGAAAAAGTACATTTGTTTGATCAAACTGCAGAGAAATATAATCACTGACACGAAAGGTCTTAACTACCAAAGACAAGACATGCTCCATCCATCTCAGTAAGTTCCTGCATGGACTACAACTACAATCTTTGTATTTTTACTTTTCAAAAGAAAAAAAAAATCCAACTTTTTGGACCTACACTTACACAAAACAATTGCACCCCCAGTAGCTAGTCTCAACTCTATCATGCTCCAAAGGCTTCTGAGCCATAACGTAATCGGCAACCAAGGCTGGGCGCTGGCTCATAAGCAAGATCCTGCCTCAGAACTCAAGGCTAAATGAGGCGGCCGTGGCATGTATTAAAAATGATAGACAATGAAGTTGCATGCATCTTCACTGACACACATGACAAGACAGATGACAACAGTGGGAAGGGATAGGACAGCATGCAAATGTCAGTACTCAGAAGTAATTTGGCAGTGAAAAATACTGTAATATTCTTGATGAAGTCTAGTCAATTTTATTGGAAACAACAAAGAGAAAGCATTTCTCCTATGGTGTTTCTACTGATTCATTGCTGCCATTTGTTGTATTTCTTCCAGTTTTAAGCACAATCAGCACACAGCAGGGAAATTCTTTCAAATTACATATTGTGATAAATTAGCATACTATTTGCTATATTGATATGTAGCTCATTTTATCACTATGGTAATGCAAAGGAAAACCATATTTATCCTATACTAGCTTAGTTTTCTTCTGACAAGGCTATTTGTCACCACAGGAAATTCCATGTTCATAAAACTGGATGGCTGACATTTCCAGCATATGCTTTGAGAGGAATAACAATCCTCCTAATCAATTTTGCCAATTACATCAGTGTTTGTCATAATACCAAAACACTTCTTCACATGCTGAAAGACCAACAAGGAGCTTTTCCTAAGTCACCTGGATCTGGAAAGCGAGAGGTTGCATTCTCATTAATGTGTAAACACATCGAATAAGTGAAATAGTAAGCAATTTAATCCAGACATGGATGGATAATTAATTCTGTGATGTAAAATGAGAGCCAGATCCCTTACAATACAGTGTAAAAAGCATAACACTCTATGAAGACTATGAGAAAGTTTATGTTGCCCTTAAATTCAGATCCAGGCTGAGCATATCCGTAAAGCATAATTTCTTGGATTAAAATAGCTTTCTGCAACTTCTTTCTTTTGTATTCTGAACAACTGCTTGTCAGTGACCAGATGAATTTTCACTTTCTAGACCAAAAATTTTTGATGATCTCTTGCAAGTTGTTTTAGAAATATGCGTAAAATTTAAGTAATCACCTTCACGAGTGAAAAATAAGCTTTTCTCAAGATAGAAGTTTGATTTCAAAATTTTCCTTTTGACTATAAGAAATGACAATTTTGTGCTTTGAAAAGCTGACTAGGGTCAAGATTAATACAGCATCCATTAATTAGTTTGTTGATATCATAAAGACTTTTCTTGACATCCCACTAATGAATGAGAGAATTTGCATCTCAGCAGGTAAACATGTTTGATATTTCCTTAATCTACTGCACAGCATTTGCTGCAGCCAAAAATAAGAGAGAAAGCAGGATGCAGAGTTAAAACAATTTTTGAAAGAGATTACTAGTTACAAAGGAATATGAATGAAGGATAACTTTCAAAAATAACACATATTCTGTACTGATGTGTTCCATAAACATTTTCTTTGCTAATGGAAGCCTTCAAGGAACAAATGGTTATTTCATATGCCTTCCATTCTGCTCAAGTCATGTTAGATTTTCATTGTAGCTCTGCCTTTTATTTTCTTCTGTTCTCCTTGCCTTGGTTAGATTAGAGAGGTAGGGTGTTAATGGGGTACTTGATGAAGACTGAAGGCCTATTTTCTCCCCCTTTGGAGACCAGCCTGATTTGAACAAATTGAGAAGAGTGAAGCAGTCTCTTCATGTCCTTGGGAAAAGCCTTTGCCATTTCAGCATTACAAGACACGGTCCCCTTTCTTCACAGTGAAGAAGAAAGAAAAGGTGCCAGCACAAGAAGGTTCTGAATAATTTTATATAACGTCAGTGGGGCAGCAAAAGCTCCCTTTCAATCTCCTTTATGGTTGGTGAGCATGCGAACGCAAGGTGGATCCAGGAGGGGAATGCAAAGAACTAGTGCTTGCAGCTCGAACAGGACGAGAAACAAGCTGCTGTTCACCAGTCCCCACCTCTGTCGTTGCCACTTCCTTACAACCCTCATCCTTGTGGGTACCACTTTGTGCAGGGCACTCAAAATGCACACAGTGAAACACCTGGAGAGAACAAAAAAGGAAGATAAACAATTAAATGCTGGCAAAAGCATGATCAAAGTAAGATGAAATCTATATGCAAGTATGCAGGCCAGATCAGTGCAAAAGCACTGATAAGAATAAAATAAGAATGCCTCAACATGAGCTCACAACCATTATTCCATGTGACAGCAATGTTACAAGGTGATACAAGTTATAAGAGTGGAGCAAGAGAAGGCCTACAAATTATACAAACTGTTACATATGACACTGAAAATCAGAAAGATGGTTCTAAGGCAGATAGAGATAGTTGTGATTTTTCCTTTGCCAGACAACATAAATATTTAATACATGCTATTGGAAAACAACAACAATTACGTTAATTGTTTTATACATCTAATATGATTTAAGCACATCTCCAAAAGACTGCTATTCACACACACCAGAAATGGAATTTAAATTGTTACCAATATGATCCTATTTCAAGATAGCCCACTTCTGTAACAACAACAGTAGCTCTACAGATGTTTTATGTAGTTATGCAGAAATGTATTCAAGACTGCTCAAGGAAACTGCTACTGAAGCAGATGGAATGTGTCCTTTATTACAGTGATCAGTTTTGGAGGCTTCAAACAATACCTGGACCACTATCATTGATCTTATACGTAGCTGATGTCTTTAAAGCTCTTCTCACAAAGAAGTGCAATTGCTTCTAATCCTAACTGCTCTTTCCCAGGCCTTGTCAAGTTAAAATGGACAAAATCAAATACCATAAACAAAACATAGGTATACTACATATTCATAGAGGAATACACAGTATTATATTTTTTATCCTTTCTTTAATACAACTGAAAATCCTATTACTCTTTTTGTCCATCCCTGCACAAGTGCATATTGAGCAGACATCTGCAATGACATGTCTGCAATAGCCCCTGGGTCTTTTCTGAGAAGGTAGCTAGCTAATTCAAATTCTAACAGCATGAATGAAATGAACAAAAAAACCAAAAAGAAAAAAACAACATTCACAGTCACTGGCTTTATTTTTTTTAAATCTCCGTTATATTTTCTGGTTCCTTTCAATGTAGAAATTCCTTCAGATTTTATGTAGATACACTGTGATGTATGTTCATATTTCCACATATATGTACCTATGTTCACATAAAGATGCACTGCCACCTCTCTATCTGCACCATTGCCACATGTGCAAAGAACGGAAAAACGGCTTTTTCTCTGCATTTCTTCTGGTGATTTTTTTCTAAAGTCAAGCTAATGTCTACAGTGGAGTGAGTTCCCTCCATCTGCTACTGCTCTTAAGAAGCCAATTTTTGTGTTCAGTTCCATTTCTTGAGAAGCCACTTTTACATTCATTGCTCTCCTTTGCTTTTTAAAGTAACAGCCATTGACATTTTTCCAGCCATACTTATCAGAATCAGTATTTTTAGAAGAGAACAATGTATCTCATCAATACATAGCTTTCCTTGAAAGACAGTACACTCTAAAGAAAGGAATGGGTATCTATGATTTAGAAATTCCTTATTTCTACTGTATCTTAAACCAACAAGGTTTCTCACCTGAAGTTTCACTTCCTATAGTATGTTAAAACATAGTACAGTTAGCACTGAAATTTACCTGATACTAGTCTATAACATCTGAAGTAACTAATTCTTAAATTACAACTTTTCTTGTTACCACTCTTTCACACTAAATTCTCAGCATCTGGCAAATGTTACTAACTCTGAGAATTCACAACATCATTTTCAGTTACTCTGTCACTTTAACATATGCAGAATACACCTTGTGAAAGAATCAGATAGACCTCATGTACTTCAGTATTGGAATTATGTATTTAAGCCCAGCACTCTTGAAACAAAAAATCTGGTATGATTTTCTCTATAAAAGCTGAGATCACACTTCAGTATCATTCTCTAATTAGTAGCATGTTAAGTCCACCTGGAGATTTGAAAGAAGGTTTGACATACAAAGCAAGTACATATAAGCTGGTGCAGTAATTTGTTAGACAAGGCTTTCCCATTAGCAATTAGATGCTTTTTCCAGGTCAGTACTACTTGGAAGGAATAACAAGAGAAAGTGTATATATTCAGTTAGAAGCATCAGATGACCTGCCTGACAAATGGTAAAGAAGGCCAAGAAAAAATTATTTTATTTATGAAGGTGGTATATCTGTAAGCTCAAGAAAAATAGTTACATTTTTATCATGTTGTAAAATACAAAAGAAATTTACTAGGTCAAGTAAATCTATGAGCATCCTATCTTTCAACACACAGAAAATATGGTGAATGAAAGATGAGTTTAAAAGATGAAAACATTTACAAAACTGAGAAATTTTGTGGTTTTTTGTGCTTGCTTTTTTTGTAGCTTCAAAAATCAGATTGTGCCTCAAAGTTAAGAGGTATGTTGTGGCAGTGTACTGACACCACAAGTAGGTAATACTTTCCTACTCGTTACAGTTAAACTTGTGATGAGAACATGGTGCCATTGACATCTTTTGTTTAAAATGAAAACTATTTGCCATAACATACCACTTGCTGTGGGCAAATAATTCTGGAAATGCTTACATTCCTATGGAAGTGACTAGCAAGACTATCCACTCCAGAACAAACTGAAACTTTTGTTACAATGCTGTTATTCAAACTAGATTTATGGAAAATATCTTGCTACATACTTTGGACTTTATGACAAAATATTATACATTATTTGCTTAATATATATATATCAAAGGAGTATAATATGGTAGTCTGTGAAAGCTAAGAATGTTTTTTTTTAGAAGCTCTAGGGGCAATAAACTGTCTAAGAATTAAAATAAATAAGCATGGGGCACTGTGCTTAAAGACAAAAGGACTTAGAATGGCAATGCATTTATAGTTTCACCAAACCTTTGCATGAATAGGCATAACCTCAACTTCCACATGCTGATCTTCAGTGTAGTTATACAGTTCCATCTATCAGTAATTAAACAAAATATTAAATGTCTTGTAAATGTAAACAGACGTAATTAGAATTATGTTTAGAAGTCCATATGCCCATTACTTTTCCGGGCTATCTTTAAGAATTAAAAGCTGGAAGTAGTGTTTCTTGTAGGCTGATTTCCTAAGTTTAGTCAACACGTCTCATATTCTCTTTTAATGAAGATTAAGAAATCACAGGGATTGGCATGAGAGCAAATAGTACTGCCTATACTGATCAGTAATGGAAAAGGCCTTTTTCATGCACATATTACAAACACAGAGGCAGTTTCTGATTCTGTATTTCTGAGTACTCACTGATGAAGACTGAACTGTCCTCCGTAAGAGGCAGTCCTTATGAAAATTAAAATATAATTGATATTTTTGGTTCGATTTAATGGTCAGCTTCTTTCCAATTGTCTACTGAAAGCTAATGTTGACATCTCATTGTACAAACAGTGCTATCTGACAACTCATTCAATGCTAAGAACTAGACCCTCTTACACTAAATATCAGAATGATTGAAGGTGGAAGGGTTCCCTGCAGGTCATCTGATCCAATCCTAATTAGTAATCACTAATAATCACAAATCACTAATAAGGGTAGAACTGACAAGCTCTAACACCACTACCTATGGTTCACTGTAAAGGGTGAAAGTACAATGTTCTGTGGGTGTAGTACACAGAAGGACATAGAAGGAGCTGTCAGTGCCTCTAGTGTTTTGTTACATAAGGTCCTGATGTTGCAAAGACATATACATGTTCTTAAATATACAGACAGTAAATTGTTTCACTGAAATCAAGAGAATGATATTGCACTTGGTTGTCACAAGACATTTTTTCTGTGTAAGATGAACAGAAGAAATCCCTTCAGCCATTGTTGGCTAACTGATTTACCAAATATGAAAGCAGTTATAAGAGAAACTTATACAAATAAGATTTTCTTACGAAGAATGACATTTTTCTTGCTTTTGATTCATTAAGAAGATAATACAAAAGCAATAAACCAAGTAATCAGAAACTATACACCTTTCTCTAGTTCACTACAATGCTGCTTTCATCAGTCATCAAAATAAGGAATTATTTAAATATTAACCAAACCTGACAGAAACGCTTGTTTGCACAATGTACGGGTCAAAACCTGAAACACACTGATGGTACTCTGTCTGTAAAACACATCAAACCAAAATCATCTTCCACTCTAGCAACAACCTTACGAGTCTGTAGAGTGCAGAAGTATGATAACACCATTCACTAATATTTAAATACAGAAAGCACTCGTTTTCATTCTGCTAGATTTCTGGAGCAAAAAGAAGGAAGAAAAAAAGTTCTCTTTAGAGGGTATTATTAATTTCATGGCAAGATACCAAAAATCGTATAATGAAATATTCAAGAATATAAGTTGTATTAGCACATCCTTACCTCATTAGCTGTGTTCTGAGTTCCAACTATTCTGATAAAAGATGCAGGCTGTTTATCAAAAGTGATTGTTTGCCAGGATCTACAAAAAAAAAAAAAAAAAAATTCAGAAAGACATACAAATATTACATATGGTCACCACAGCTTGCAGTGAAGTACAGAGGGAGTTCATCCAAATGACAGTACATAATCACTTAAAGGGGCAAACAGAGAAACACTCTGTAGCACCTGAATTTCCAACGCAATTTGTTCATTCTTATTTTTAAGTGCCTTGTCTCTGCTTCTGTGTATTCATACGCAGTTTATATTACTATAACCTCCATGCAGGAATAATATTCATAGTACTACAAACAAGAGAGAAGACAAAAGTAGATGCCCCTTTAACTACTCATGAAAAATTTCAATCGTGAAAGTTCAGTTAAAGAAAATTGCAGCTGTAGGAAAAACAAACCACCACCCCAACTCATTCTGTAAGTGGAGCAGAGTGGGGGGCCCAGTCTTCCAAGTGACCTAATGCATTCTTCTCAGCTCAGACTGTGAGGATTTCTCCATCTCACCCTCCCAGAGCTAGAGTGTAGCTTTGTCTCTAAAAGCTTGATTGGGAACACTATAACCTTCCTGCCTCATTTGTACTCTTCTGATTTGGGTGAGGTACAGCACGTTACAAGGAGCTTCATGAATGGCTGGCAAAGGACATCACTGCCAATCACACCTTTGTGCTCACAGAACACACTGACAGTAAAACAGAAAAATTAAAAAGGTCACAGGAGTTAGAGGCTCCTATGCCAGTTTTCCATTGTGGCCGATAAGTGTTTTAACACAATAGAATTTATATTACCTTTTTACTCATAAAACATGAAATGTAGGTACAGAATACAACTTTTAGACTCTACCATAGAAGGCTTTAGAGATAAAATGTCATTAAGAATAACCAGATTAACTCACTAAACAGGATAAGCATTGGATGAAATTATACTGAAAGTGTCCAAAATACCTTTAGAAATGTTCACAGAAGAAATAAAGGACTCAACAGAACTGGAACAAAACACTTCTCACCATCAGTAAGTAGCAAGAAGGATTGAGAGAAAGGCCTCAGCAGATTCTTTTAGAACGCTCATCTAGATCAGCAACTCCAGGAATCTCTTAAGTTCTTCCACTTCCCTTCCTTTCTTCTGTACTGCTGTTATTTGGATTGGATTATAATTACCCTTTCAATAATTCCAAAACATGCTATAAAATATAAAAAAACTGAAGAATTTTTGAAAAAGAATGTGAGATTTGAATTGAGTTAGGGTTTTCAGTAAATTTGATCCTAAGAATATTTACTATTTTATTATGTCCATTATGTTCCCTTCCCACTGGGGGAAAAAAAGCCTGAAATGTTAAAATTATACACCGCTTGCAGAAGAGTTATTAAGATTCAAGAATACTGCCACCAGAGAATTAGCACTTGATGAGATAATGAGAACATCAGGTCTCTTAATTTATTCCCTTAGCAAAAAGAAAAAAGCATAGTAGAAAACAAGAAAAACTGATTTGAAAAAAGTTTGGAAATAAGGAAGATCAACCTTCATCACTAAAATGCTGCAACAACTTTGACTATAACAGAGCACTTGAGAACATCATAGAAGAACCACATAGAATCACAGAATCAGAAGGTTGGAAAGGACCTACAAGATCATCTAGTCCAACTGTCTTCTCATTACCATTGCTACCACAAGCACTAAACCATATCTCATAGCTCCTCATCCAGGCGCCTCTTGAACACCGCCAGGGACGGCGACTCCACCACCTCCTGGGCAGCCATTCCAGTGCCTGACCACCCTCTGAGAGTAAAAGTTCTTCCTTATGTTCAACCAAAACCTCCTCTGATACAACTTATGGCCATTTCCTCAGCTAACATTGATATATACAAGGGAATATCTCTCCAATACAAGTATAATTATGCAGTAGAAAGATAATTTATGCAGTGTAACTATCTATACCAGTATGGGAAGACAGGTAACTGAAAAAAGTATCATGACTTATGTGTGCTCTCTTTTTATATTTTCTACTAATAAAATAAATTCATTCAGACTTCTATGTATGTATGAAGCCATAACAACCATCTTCAGTGGCATTCCTCAATTAAACAAAAGACATCCTTAGCAAACCTTCAGTTTCTTTTTAATTCTCTTATTTTACTGCAAGTTACACTTTTAACATAAGAATTTCTCCACAGAATTTTTATTTTGCAAATGTTTAGTCAAGCCATGAATATTTGTTTATTTCCTTTCCTCACGAGAAATAATACATTTATTCTCATAATTCCTTTTACAAAAATTTCCAGCAAATTCAATGGTGACACCAATCTCTGGTGTTGATGCATTCATATGTCACTATATCCAAGGAACAGCAGCATTAAACCTTATCTAAAGCATCTCTATTTTTGGTCTGGGATTAAATACTTCTGTAAAATAAGAGCCATTTCTTCACCTTGGCTCCCCTATGCCAAGGAAACAAACCTTTCAAGCTAATGACAGTGCTTTCCCATTAAGTGACATTGCCACCTTTGGACTTCCTGTATTTGTGTATTCTTTATTAGTGATTAGTGATTTTTCAGTATTTAGCTTTTTTAAATACTCAGGGAGTGTAGATGGTTTCTTTTTTTCTGCTTTCATACCCACCTTGGTGGCTGATTCTTTTGGGATTTGCACTTCAATCTACAGCAGTCTTGGTCATCACCTCTAAGATAACACTAGGAACTATCAGCGTACTCAGACTCGTACCAGGGTCCTCAAGATGAAATGCATCACTTTGGTATGGCCAGCAAAGGTCTCCTGATAAAGTAGCTCAATTTTCCAAAAGAAATTAGCCTTGCTACAGCTCCACGGTGCTTTATTTAACACTCTACATCTCACCTCTGCCACCCAGCTTCTAACTCTCTTGTTCTGTCTGACTCCCCTAAGGAGATGCAGTAATTGATGATTAGCATTCCTAAGCCATGCTTGCATCCTGTGAGCCTGTCATATTTAATTACATTTTAACTATATTCGTCTTCTATAATAGACTGAACATAATTTAGATAATTATCTTTTGCTCTCTTATTCTCTGACTCTGCCCATCTTACTTAGAACTCCTTGCAATGAAAATCACTTTCTCTGCTCAAAGATATAAACAGACTCTTGGGCAAAATGCTTTCATCTCTCCAACAGCTGTCACTGAAAACACGATGGTTCTGTGCATCCCACAACCTATTCACTATATTCTATTCTCAGCAAGAAGAATATCATTAGAAACCCCTCTACTTTCATGTTTTTTTTTCCTTTCTCTTTATTAGCCTATTGCAAGAAGAATGCAGGAAAAACTGATGTCCATGTAAATTATAATAATAGCTTGCTATTGCTTAAGCTATCTATAGCTTTAAAATTGCAATTCACCTCTTCAAGAATTTAATGGCTTTTCTCAGCATTTAAAATTCTTGCCTGGTTATCTCCATGAAAAACTGATATCTTTCTAGAGATTTATTATATAGAATGGGATATAAATAGTGACTCATCCCATTTATTTTCTCCTCTTCCAGAAGGAACAAATTAAGAAAGAAGTGGAAGCTTATCTCTTATTGAGATTTTCTAATGATCCACTGGCATTACAAAAATACTGCCGTACTGTGGGATCACCAGAGCAGCACTGATTATAGCTGAAATCAAGTTCAGGCTAAAGGCATAAGAGCAAAGAGAAAGATATTACTTGTAACCAAAATTCATCAAGATGTAATAACCATATCATATGCATTTCCTGGCTTGCCTTGGGTTAACTATGTGATTTTTGAGAGTGCATGCTGAAGCTCTTCCTTTTCCAAAGTGTCGTACAACCTCCATTTTTTGTTCCTCCCTCCAAAAACTAAGCAAAAGAGTTGAAAGAACAAGCAGAAATGAACAACAGTTGAAGAATTTCAACTTTCAGTAAGTAACCTCCACTTTGCTTTCTAATGCTTGCCTGCACGCGTCTTATTCTGTCAGTGACAAAACACACCTCAGGTTATTTGGATGTGGAATACTTCAGTGATGACTACAACTTTTAGCTGAAATCCAGTATTCATTGTGATGAATGTGGAGGCATTTGTAAAAGGAGATGAAAGGAAAAGGAAAGAGTAGTTGTGTTGACTTTCGATAAATCAGTCTGATGACTGCAGTGAAAACAAGACAGCAAGCAAGTAACTACCACACGAAGCTGCCAAATAAAAAGCTGTGTACACGAGTAAGCAACCAACAGAGACAGGAAAAGCACTGTAGTACATACTGCATGGTAAGTATTACATTTCCTGCTCTATTAACAAATAATATATTTGCCTCTGTTGTAGAGCATCTAACAGTACAGGTAAATGCTTTAAAAATGCTATAACATTATTGCGATACTGACTTATCTTTATAAAATAAGATCTACAGCTACCTCATAAATTGCCAATAAAAAAACGTGTTTTCCATTATAACAGTACTAAACAATAAAGCAAAATAAAACTATTCCTGCTAAAGCTGTCATTAAACAGCATATTAATTCAGAGTGCCAAAGCCATAAATAACAGAAGTCAGCCACACTTGGTGCTCAGCCACTTCCTTTTCATTCTGTTTTCCAGGTCACTAACGGGGAGAGAGAAAGTAGAAGAAATGGACTGTGAAGACTGAAAGGTCCTCTGCATTTTAGTTTTTAACTTACACACAAATTAAGTGCAGTTCTACCTATTATCTCTGTCGACTCAAACCTGAGCCCTAAAACTGGGTTTCCATGTATTCCATCATGACAGCACACTCACAAACGAGGGATGCAAGGTAGAAGCTTGAAGTAACAGTTTGCCTTCTGCAGCTCTCTTAGGGCCAAAACTTACCAAATAATAATGCACTACTTCTACATATGTTATAGTCCACTGAAGGGATAGCAAATATATCTTATTCAGTCTACTGAGGAAAAAATATAAAACACCAAGGACTGGCAGTACTAATCACAGAAGTAATGAAAATGGCTAAGGGAAATATAATGAGCCCAGAATAAATGTAAGAATATTAGAAACTAAATATCTGTCACAGTGCTCGTTACATGATCGCT